GGTCCTCTGACGGTGTCCCAGTCTGGTCTCTGGAGGTCTCCTCAGGGTCCCGGTCCTCTGAAACCGTCTCAGTCTGGTCCCTGGAGGTCTCCTCAGGGTCCTGGTCCTCTGACGGTGTCCCAGTCTGGTCCGTGGAGGTCTCCTCAGGGTCCCGGTCCTCTGACGGTGTCTCAGTCTGGTCCCTGGAGGTCTCCTTGGGGATCTGTGTGGTTCTGGTGCTTCCACTGTTTGAGGATGAAAGAAGACTCTTTCAGACATCGTTAAATGACGGTGGATCTGGTCCCTGGCGCTCTTTGGGCTTTACCTGCTACCCTCCTCTGCCTCTCTTCGTGTTGTCATGGTAACGACGGCAGCAGCAGTTTCACCGCTGGATGTGGACGGGGCCTCGTCATCATCTGAGCTCATCAGCTCGTCCATCTCCTCCAGCCCCGTCCTGTGAGCACAAGCATGATCAGTCAGTTTCACTCTGAACCTTCTCAGCTTCCCACATTTTGTTGCTAGGTAACAGACGATGCAGTTCCAACCAAATACAGCCGACAGAAGCTCACATAAACGGACGCTGACCATCAGAGACGAGCTGCGAGCGCTTCAGCTGAACTCAGAACACAAGAATCTGTGCTGGTGGTCGGTGAGGTCACTGGAGCTGCTGATAAAAGACGCTGTGATGTCAGCGGGCGCCAGGAAACCTGTTGACATCACAGTGCCCGCTGAGTTGATGGATTCACCAGAAATCACTGATACCCCACTTAACTGTTTTTCACCAAGCGTGACCTCACAGGATTCAACTGGTTTCAGCCAATCAGAACCTCCCTGGCTGCTGACCTCATGTTTTTATTTGTCAGGGTGTGATGTTGCTCGCACAGCGAACGACCTGCCATCTCGACAAGGACAATAATTGAGAATAATTTGCCTTTCAGAAGCTCGCTGTAGCTCAGAGCCGCCGCCGGCGTGCTTGTCGTTCCCTGTCTGAGTGATCGCGTAACAGCTGCCATGTTCAACTCTTCCTGTCATTAACGACTCACCAGAAGCACCCCCCTCCTCCTGCTGTCTTCGTCTTCTTCTTCGCAGGCTGCTCACTCTGATCACAGTTCAGCCTCTTGGCGCCGCACATGTCGTCCACCTTCACCTGGCTGCTGGAGGAAGCCTGCAGACCTGCAACAGGAAACACACCTGGCGTCAAACACGTGCGACCTCGCGCTCTCACCATGCGAGCTGTGCAGCGCGGCCAACCTCTGAGCACCGAGTCCTCGAGTCGCTCGGACAGGTCGTGGCACTGCTGCTGGTACTCTGCGTCGGTGAACTGGTGTTTGGGCTCATTGAGCTTCCTCTGCAAGCGCTCCAGACGCCGCTGCTCCTTCTCTGCCTCGCGCTCCGCTTGCTTCTTCAGCCAGTCTGCCATCCTGCCGCACCACAGAAGAACAGACATGTCACTGCAGTGAGCACCGGCCGCTCACAATCAGACTCTACCCACAAACTGCAGGAGGAAGTGACCTCGACGGTGGGATAGATTGTTTGACAGCTGTGTTGCTGGCCCAACATCACAGTGCTTTGATCTTACAGCAGCAGCTGCTGCAGAGCAGATGTTTGAGGTGAATCATCATCAATAATTAACCTGAATATTTTACATCAACTGTAGAAAATTCACCTTTCAGAGTTTTTCTGGTGTTTTAAACCTCGTTTTCAGACACTTGAAATTTAAGTGCGCTCACCCGGACAACACCTTGGACACTGCTGTATAAATAACATTCAAAGCGTTTCTGTTCTCATCATGTTTTAAGTGCAGCCATATTATTATTATTATTATTATTATTATTATTATCATCATCATCATCAAATCTGTTAAACTGGCTCCAAACATCTCAATACGTTTACTGCCAACGTGACAGCAAACCAGAGCAGGAAGCAGGGGGCGGAGCAAAGTGTGACAGGAGAGGTGTTTGCACAGGTGTCTCCACGCTGAGGTGGGGAAACTAAAACGTGCAAACAGACGTTATTGAGCCTTCTGGCTGAACGCTGCCACCTGCTGGTGAGACTTTCATTACATTTACCACAGATTTTACTGGAAGACCTTTAAAGTAGGGCCGGGTATCGTCACTGATTTCTAGAACTGATTCAATTCAGATTCACAAGGTCCCGAATCGATTCGATCCACGATTTGAATCGGGGAAATTTTGCCTCAGACAGTCAGAAATATTATAATTCAGATGATGCATCAGTACATTTCCATATGTTTATATCTACAAAAAGAAAGCTTGTGAGCATCACAGCAGATGCCTTTGTGTCAAAGTAACTGAGGAATTTTATAAAAATATTCTGCAGTAGATCAAAAACGAAAGAAAACCATTAATCAACATGTGAACATGACCTGATGCTGCTGAAGTGAAGCAGAGCAAAGTTACAGAGGTTTGATTAGAGACACAGCTGAGAGTTTTGCAATGTTGCGTAATTTTAAAAAGTTTAAATATGTTCATCATTGAACAGCAGAAATGAGGCTTTGTTTTCAAAAGTAAGTAAAAGGAAAAAAAAAACAAAAAACAAAAAAAAAAAACAGCGTCCGACAGCGCTGTAAACAGCTGTAGACTTGTGTGCAAGCGAATAATGAAGAAAACTGATTTTTAGATGGGAAACTGTTGTTGAGAGAGAGAGAGAGAGAGAGAGAGAGAGAGCTGTGCATCGTGGTGGAAGCAAAACAACAAAAGTCAGAGTGAATCCATGACGATGTTTATGTGAAGCTTAGTTTGGATCTTCTTTCCTGCTGGTTCGGTCTATATTGTTTGGAGAGATAAAAACCTGCAGCTTCAGAATCTGTGCAAAAAGGGCGTAAACACAAAGCGCGGAGCCGCCGAAACATCAGCATCAGCGAGCTGTCGGCTTTCAGCCCCGACCGTGTCCGTGCCGCCGGGTGAGAAAGGCGACATCTCCCTAATTCTGACCCGTCGGCGGGTCCGCACTTTGAGTTTAGCCTCTGTTTTAGCCGTTTGGTGGTTGTTGAAGTTTTGTGAGGTTTAACCTGAGATTCTGGCGTTTCAGGCAAAATAAATTTTTATTAAAAAATCGATTCAGGATTTTAATGAATCGATTTTACGTTATCCATGCTAGAATTTATTTTAATCGATAATCAAAACCCAGCCCTACTTTAAAGACTACAGAGTAATAACACTTCCTGTCTGATCTAAACATTTCAGCTCCTGTGTGTTTGTCTCACTCTTTCTCGTGGTTGACGTCTCTGAGTCTCCGCCCACTGAGGTCCCTGCAGGCCTCTCGATTGGTCGTCTTTTCAATCTGAGCGCCGAGCGCGCGCAGCATTGAACCGAACCCTAAAACACATTTCACAAGTTTCCTTCAGCTCTTCTGCAGCAGGAAAACTGGAAGCTACTTTCCGTTTACTGACCTCCTTTCCCTCCAAGGAGGCGGAGCTCCAGATGATAGACGGCTCCATGCTCCAGAGGATCGTCCAGGTGTGCCCGGCGCCCATCTCTGGTGACGTAGAAATCCTGGAAACATGAAAACTCGCTGAGATGAACCCTTCGATCATCTTCACATCCCCTGATGCCGCGACCTTAACCTCCCGTAAACACACCTCCAGTTTATTTAATCTGGAATAAATCTAAATAAATAATTCAATGAATAAGAGCTGGCAGGAAGTACGTCATAACAGGGCTGATCCTGAGGCTCTGATTTTACGGATTTAAGTCAAAATGATTAGGGCTGCCACAAACAATTAGATAGTCGACTAGTCACCGATTATTTTTGCGACTAGTCGTCTAATCGGATCATCATCCATTGGATGTAAAACTACAGCTTATTGCACCAGCAGCATCTGCTCTTATATAACTATCATTAGCTGACAGCTTTAAGTGTTTAAAGTATGTGCTAACTAAAAATAAAGACAAGATGATAGTTTATTAAATTTTAATGAAATTTGCAGATTGTTTCGGTGAAGTTTAATAAACTCCTTGCTATCTAAAATATAACAGGACACCGGAGTAAATTCTGGAGCATCTCACACTTCTGATAATCAGCTGTCTGCTTGACGTTTATTCAGCTGTGTAAAAACTTTAATATCAGCCAAAGCGATTTACTCAGGAACAAATAAAATACTGAAAAAAGCCAAACAATAACATGTTTAAGTTATCTAAGTGACTCATATATCATGTTTAACCCGAGTAGCGAAAGACGGCGGTGGGTTTGAAAACGATTTGCCGGGAGTCCGGTATTCTCACGGCGCTAGTGAGCCTAGCCCCCGGCTCGCTATCGAGCTAGTGGGTAACAGACGTCTCCGAAAACGTCGGAGCGCTTTTGAAAATATGCGGTGTCTTGATAAACTGAGCAGATATTTGAGGTTTACACAGCTACATTCTCGCCTGAAAATATGTTAAACGTTTATTTTGTGACCCAGAAAGAATAATAAGAGTAATATTAAAACTAACTAGCTGCCGCCATTGTTGGAAACTGAGCTGGGCTGCGCTATGAATTCTGGGACACAGCTTCTTCTTCTTCGGGGTTTAACGGCAGCTGGCATCCTTGTACATGCAGTGCTGCCATCTTCTGTTTCAGTCCGTTATTACACTCTTAAATCCTGCTACTTATTCCTGCGTCTTTTGGGATCTTATAAAGCTTCAAAGTCGTCGACTACGTAATCGTGACTAGTCGACTAATCGTGGCAGCCCTAAAAGTGATTCACCCTTTCATGCATGAATTATGACAAACTCAATCAGGATTTTTATTCATCGTTAGGAATGAAAAAATGACTTTTGAACTTCATTTTTTAAACATGTACTTTTCAAAGAGGTTCAGTGGACAACAATTTAACTTAAGAATTTGACAAACGAATAAACAATACACACCGTGTATATTGTTTATGTGCAAGTACACCATCAACACTGACACAAATACACGGAAACGGCCTTTGAATAGCTGTCCACTGTAGTGACCACTATGCGTGAAAGGGTTAAACTCGTGATTGCTTCGGCCTCCTCTGGATATAACCTGAGGTTACTGTCAGTGCTGACCTCGTTTGGGACAGGTTAATGCCGAGTTTAGCCTTATAGCTTATATGCTAACCGCCGACAGGTTGATTCTGTTCACCTGGACGTAGCGGTTTCAGTGGGAGGAACGTCTCGTCACTTTTCCAGGTGACTTTTTCACATGAGTGACGCTACGTCCAGATGAGCGGGATGTGCTTACCTGGAAGATTAAGCATGCATCAAAACACTTTATATGCTAACGTTAGCGCAGCTGCTAACACTGATACCCGGAGTGCATTTAAACCGCCTAACCCGGGCTAACTCACGCTAACCCTGGTTATCCCGGATAATTCGTCTCAGCCTCACCTCCGGAAGCGGCACGAGCCGGTCCAGGACGTGCCTAACCACAGAACCGACCGGAAACACGCAGGTAGAACCTCTGCGGCCCAAAGCGCTCACCGACACCTCCATGTTGCACAACGCTCATGCGCAGCTCTTCCGCTTCTTACTGGCTGAGTTTTTCTTCTCTGACTTAAAACGCGCGTCATTGTTACTGTACAGATGTACAATGATATACAGCGCCACCTGCTGATCCGGAGTGCACTGAGCCCACGTCACGCCACCACAACAATTCGAATTAGTGAGCTAATAATGTAATTCATGGTCTCAGTTTCATGCATTAGGTAAAAGACACAAGCGAGAGGTCAAACAAGCAGAACGTTTATAGTTTGAACTGCTTTTACATCATGGGAATGTTTTATGGTTTTAAAACCTTGTCTGGTTTCATTTATAAAGCATGGAAAATTCAGTTTTGCACTATTGTATTTATTTATTCTCATTCTTTTCTATTTCTTATTCTACTTTTATTCAAGCACAACACTGTTGGACTGATTCTTAGTTTATCTTATTTCTGTATAGCTACATATTTGAATTTGTTCATTTTTATGTTCACAGTTTGCACTTTTGATCCAGGAGGAAGATATTTGACCTCACTGTATACTTAAGTGTAAAATGTTGGGTAGAAAATAAAAGTCTACTTAGTGCTTTTTGGAGGACCACGTGACGCTTTTGCCTCTACAGCCTTCACAGGAAGTGCGCGGAGACAGAACTTCCGGTTGTGCGGTAAACATGGCGGCGCTGTGCAGGGTCGTGTCGGGGCTCCGGTATCGGGTCCGGCTCTCCCCCCGGTTCCTCCGGAACTCCTTCAGCTCGGATTCGGGCCCCGCCGAGAGCCCGATCTCCGGGTTCTCCGCCGCCTTCGACCACCAGGAGGTGCTCCGGCGGGAGACACAGAGCAACGCGGCCGGGCCAAAGGCCTCCTCTTTGGATCCGGAGCTCAGCTTCGCTGCGCTGCTTCGTCGGTCCCCGCTGATCCAGATGGGCCCAGCCAAGGACGCGGTGGTGGTGGGCAGGTTGTTCCGGGTGGTCCGCGACGACCTCTACATCGACTTCGGTGGGAAGTTCCACTGCGTGTGTCAGCGGCCGGCCGGGGCCGACGGCCTGCAGCCGGGCTCCAGGGTCCGTCTGCGGCTGCAGGACATGGAGCTCACCGCCCGCTTCCTGGGAGCCAGCACCGACACCACGCTGCTGGAGGCCCAGGCAGTGCTGCTGGGCCCGCTGGACGGACGGGAGCACCAGATCCGGGACTGAGGCTGGAACGAGGTGGACTGTGGCCTACGGGTGGAGGACTCTGGTTGTTCTTGTGCGCACCGAGGCTCAGCAGGGCCCGAAACAAGGACTGAATTAAACAGATTTATCACGTGACGTTTGACTGTGCTGAATGACCCCTGACCCCGGTCACGTGACATTGCTGGAGCTGATGGCTGCTGTCACTGTTCGTTATCATCAACACTGAAACTGACCAATCACGGAACTGTGATGTCATAACTTTGCAGTGTGTTTGTAAAAGTCTGTCATGGAAAAATCATCGCAGCTGTTTTCTTTATTTCTGCAATAAATAAATGTGTGATCGACGTTCAGCTCACTCCTCTCGGTTTCACACATCATTAGTCAGCTGCAATACTGAGGTGAGATGGCAGGTTAAAGGTCAGCTGATAAAGCTTCAGGTCGGGGAAGAGCAGCATCAGCAGCTCCTCACACAGGAAACGAGGCGAAGCTCAGAGAAACAGACACAATGATGCTGATCAATTACTTTATTTTTCTCCCAGCATCCATTCAACAGCTGGAAGACCAGTGATTATAGAAACTACTACCTGCACAGGTGTGCTACAATACCTGTGTGTGTGATCATGCAGGATATGAATAAGGCTGCAGAGTACTCTGATTAATATCTTTCTGCTGCATGCTTTACTGTAGCAGTACTGCAGTAGTATAGTAGTAGTACTGCAGTATAGTTCAGTGCAGTAGAGCTGTGATGGACTGGTTCTTCCTGGAGGAGGCGCTCTGACGCTCAGGTGACTCAGCCGCACATGCTCATACAGAGCCACTGAGGAGAGAAGACACATTGACAGTCTGTGAGATTAAAGTTTGATGTGACAGATTATTTACTCTTTTATTTTTGTGTAATAATCACATTTATATTCATATTCATGTCCTAAATCCTAGTGACTCGCAGGAAGGAGGCGGGGGTCATTTTTCAAAGGTTTGTGCTTTAATGTGAGCGAGTGAGAATTACGCTCTGGCACAGAGGCTCAGACAAATCGTGAACCGTAAATCATCGGCTTACAAGAGATCTGACTGAGTCAAAGCATCCTTTATGCACGGCTCCTCAAGCAATGAAAAGATCGGTCCACAGTAATCTGGTTTACGCAGCAGAATAAATTTGTTATTATAAAAACAATAAATAAAATGTAGACTGGAGGCAGGAGGGGCACTTAAACACCTTTCTGCGCCTCCTGGTTCCCAAACAGAGCCGGAGGCGACCCTAACGTTTCCTGTAAAATGATCCACAAACATAGACTGTACGCTGAAGATGGAAGATACTCCACGTGTGGAACAACAGGTCCATAAATACGAAAACAGGATTTACACAGAAAAATGATGCAAAACATGATTCTCATCACAGGCCTGACGGACACTGATGCTTACAGGCAACATATCAAAGCCCTGCTTCCGCTCATATGAAACTAACATGGGTCTGATACTCGAGCGCGTCTAAGCTCAGTGTTTGTGGAGCTCAGAGACGGTTTACCTCGATGAGGTTCATCTCCACGGTGCCCGTCCCGTCTGTGTCCAGGTGCTGGAAGGTTCCTGACAAACACACACGGAGCAGCTCAGGACAAATAAAATGTTAAAAGGTTTATTGTGCATGTTCTCGCGGTCACATGATCAACCTACGGAACATGGCCTCCAGTTTGACGAGGCAGCAGGTGAAGTTGTCAAAGTCGATGATCTCGTTGTCAGCGTATCGAGCCACCAGCATCTGATGCAGCTTGTTGTTCAGTTTGAAGCCTGCGGATGCGACAGATCTCAGGTCAGTTTAATGCAACAGAGCACGCTCAGTAACAATGCAATACTCAGTTACCGCCATTTTCCAGCGCCAGACGCATCTCGTAGGAATTCATGCAGCCAGATTTATCCAGATCGAACTCTCTGAAGATTCCCTGAAAACATGAAACCAAACTCGTCATCGCAGGACTCGATCGGATCGATCAGCAATCGGATTGAAGATTTTGTTACCCAAACATTTAAAACCCACAAAACCAGGACCTGATGGACCAGCACCGATAATCAATCGCTCAGACTTGGGGCCACTTCTTAAACTAATCAGACTGGAAGAAAAAGAGGAAAGCGATCGAAGGGACACGCGACTCGGTGCTCCGTCTCATGACAGATAAAGTTTTTATGTTTGAAATGAACTCGATATCTTTCACCTGTGAGCTTCAGGTGTTCACACTCACCAGCCACTTCCTGATCTTGTTCCAGAGGATCTGAAACTCCAGCAGCCCGAGGCGAGCGCTGCCATCTTTCTGAGATCGAGTCAAGGCCAACACGTCTTATTTCAGACATCAGTCATCAAGCTTTACCTGTCCAACGTGCTGAGCGGCGAGGATACGTCCATGAGGCTGACCATGGCTCTGCAGGACTCCGTGCTGAAGCCGTCAGTCTGCAGGTCTCTGTCTGCAAACCAGACCAGATCACAACCACATCAGAGCCAACCTCTCTGACCAATCAGAAGCCTCCATCTGATTGAGGAAGACTCACGTTTGGACACGACTCTGTTGAGGATGGTCCTGAGCTCCCGCACTGAGATCTCCATGTCCTACAGGGAGGAAACAGGAAGTGAACGTCCTCGCTGTTTCTGCACGTTCAGTCCAAGAACGTTTTAATTCATGAACTCACGTCTCCAGACAGCTGAGCAAACATGGACCTGAAGGAGTCGTCGATGTCGCTCTCTGACACTTCCTCCTGCAGAGAAGAGCAGGAAGGTCAAAGGCCAAAGACACAAAGTCATAAAGCAGCCAGTTTGGTTTGTTTACCTCTTCATCAAAGTTCGCCACCACGCCGTCGTCCATCTCCCTGCAGAGTCACAGACTGTCACTGAGAGGTCTTTTATTTTGATAAGTAAAGGTGTCTAGATAGATCATGGTGAACTCACTGGCTCTCAGACTGCTTCTCTGTGAATACCCGCAGGACAAAGTCCGCCTCCTTCGAGGGTTCAAAGGTCGACGGGACAATCAGGTACTCGCCGGGCGGCAGGCGGAACCTGCCGCTCACCTCTCGCAGGTTGATGAAGGTCTCTGAGCGAGCGCAAGAGGACTGACGCAGGAAGAAGTCCTTCTTCATGTGAACGCTGGGACAGCCTCGGTGCTGGGGGACAGACCAACGCCGCCACCGTTAGCGAGTTAAAACAAAAACGGAAAAGTGAAACGGACCGGAGCGACTCACCTGTTGAGGAATCTGTGAACGAGAACAGAGGAAACGTCACCAACAGCAGAAATACAGCGTGATAACAACATCACCTTTCTGACCTCTGACCTCATAGATGGCAAAGCCAATGGTGTGCATGTCCTGGCCTTGGCGGCGGTAGCGGCGGCGGTCTTTTTGCATCAGCGCCACCAAGAAGCTGCAGGCGGCTTCTTCATCTTCGGGGTCATCGTCCTCCTCTAGCAGGGAAATTTTATACTGAGGGTTGATCCAGAAGGTGTCTGCAGGAGAGCATCACGAGTATGTAGTTATAACCAAGGCGCACACAGGTGTCAGGTGTAGCGCGGGCTCTACGCTGGGTCCTCCGCTTTTCTCTTTAGACGCTTAGATCAGGACAGAAGTTCGGCTGAGCCCCTGAAGATCATCATGTAGCATCTGCTTATCAGTGATCAACACGCCGAGCAGCGCTGTTGGTTTGAGAAACTCTAAAATCCAGATTATAAAGATGCACAAAAACTTTCATGCTGATTGGGGACTCAGTAAAAATCTGATGGACTGACTTAAACTGTGTCGGGTCCAGGCCCGCTCACTAACACGCCACCCTGAAGGTACGCCAACAGTCAGAGCAACCTGGGCTCACCTGCACTAACTAATTGTTTACGTTTCCTAGCCGTCGGACCATGGTCCGCAGACTGGGACGGGGGGTTGATGTCCTGCTTTGGGGTCAACTCCCTTCACTTTTCGCAGAGTAGTGAGGCAGGCAGGAATTATCTGAGACACCAGGAATACTGAAGAGACGAGGCTTCAATGGTAAATGGCCTGTATTTATATAGCGCTTTTCTAGTCCCTAAGGACCCCAAAGCGCTTTACACACCCAGTCATCCACACATTCACACACTGGTGATGGCAGCTACATTGTAGCCACAGCCACCCTGGGGCGCACTGACAGAGGCGAGGCTGCCGGACACTGGCGCCACCGGGCCCTCTGACCACCACCAGTAGGTAACGGGTGAAGTGTGTTGCCCAAGGACACAACGACCGAGACTGTCCAAGCCGGGGCTCGAACCGGCAACCTTCCGATTGCAAGGCGAACTCCCAACTCGAGCCACGATCAATGAGGGTACTGCTCCTTTTAATACACACTGCAAAGGCTGCAGCCCGTTAGACCGCGGCCGTCTCTATCAACTCCAAAACCTTCTTCATTCTGCTCTGCCGTCAGGTGCTGCGCCTACACGCATGCTCACATGTTACATAGACTCTTCACACCCCCGTCACACACAAGCCAGACAATCCCTGCGACATACTCAGACCTCTTTTTCACCAACGTGGTGCCGAGCCTCGGAGAACCAGTCTGCATTTCCTCAGCTTTGAGAACCAACTATGATACAGGATTACAGGTTGTCTGGCTGGGTCTGCCAATCACTGGTAGCCCCTCCCACAGTCACTGACATCAGAGGTCCTGACTTGGTGGGCGTGCGTAGAACTGGTTCTAGTTTGAGCACGGCACCATGTTTGTATAAAAGAGGTGTATCTGCCCCTCCGTCCTCACTCGGGTGGTTCCTGCAGCCCCCGGCGGTGCTCCCTCTCCTCCAGCTGCCCTCGTACGTGGCGGTGTTCCAGAAGCTGGTGGAGTCCTGGCTCAGAGCGTCTGGAGTCAGATTGCAGATCTCCAGCCGGGAGAACTGACGCAGGAACTCCTGGAATGACATCCTGCACAGCGACAGTCGTTTGAACATCTTCGTCCTTTAAAGACACCACAGTCATCATCACAGAGCAAACATACCAGAACTCCCCGTCCTCCATCTTACACAGCATCTCGTCCTTCTCGGCCGAGTCGATGGCGTTCCACTCCGAGGAGCTGAAACACCAACAAACGTTAAACTCTCCGTGCTCTCCTCCTCCCACTTAGCAGAGTCTGACAAGCTGCAGCACTCACTTATCGCTCCATGCTCCGGTCCACTCCACCTGACCCCAGGGGTTCCTGATCCGGATCAGCAGCTCGCGCTGGCGCCGGTACTCCACCTACAGGAGGACAAACACCTGAGATCAAATGAGGAAATCTAAAACTGAGCGGTTCACCTGAGAAACAATGGTCAATGCTAACTTTATTGTCCCCAATGGGAAACTGATTTGCAAAGTGCAGCAGGCAGCAGGCATGAAGGACACTCGATGTCTCTTGGTCTAAAACTGATTCAATAAAACTTTATAAAACAGGGTCATCATTTTGGGCGCCGGTTTGGCTTGCTGGGATGAGTGGGCAACCGGCCCGGGTTCGAATCCGACCCGTGGTCCTTTGCCCTCTCTCTGCTTTCTGTCACTCTTCACTGTATCTATCAGATAGAGCCCAAAAATGAATGAAATGCCTGTTAGCCTGTGTACTACAACAGCCATTAGTGTGTAATATAGTAAAGAACCAGCTGACACACTGAGCTTTGTTAGGTAAAACATCTAAAATCCAACCAACAAGAATAAAATCCAGTTTAAACTGGAAGTCGATCAGCTGCGAGATGTGGCTGATTGTATAAAAACTGAAGAAAAGTCAGTAAAAAGGAGCCGAGCGTGAGCTTTGGCCCCATCCAGGAAACGTAATAGAGCGACCACATCAACGCCCTGCAACAAGCTGCAGAATCTACTTCCTACTTTTCACAGGATTTCATCCCTAGAGCTGTCAAAGCGACCGGCCTACAATCATTTCGTGATCTGGAGCCGTCTGCTGCTGAAGAGATCGACTCAAACACACTTTGGATTGATTTGAGCTTTTTTTGGAAATCCACCAACACATTTAGTCCTTGAACTCCAAAACGCCCAAACCATCCTAACTGCCCCCTGAGGATAAATAAAGTCATTCTGATTCTGACCATGAAGCCAGTCACGTGTTACTGAACCTTCTGACAAATGAAAGAAATAAATTAAATATTCATTTTGCATGACTTTAATTTGGATCCTTGTTATTACAGCCAACGTTTCACAGTTTGGTGTTATTCAAACGTAGGGAGGTGAGCTGACATGACTCTCAGGTAACAGTTTGTTACTTTTACCTCGCAGCTGAGCTCACCTGTCTGAGGCCTGTCACAGAGTAGGCGTGGCCTTTGACAAGCTTCTTAAAGGTGACCGCCTCCATGTCGAGGCTGTTGGTGATCTGAAGACAGAAGTTCGTTTGATCAGTGTGGACAAACGCTCCGTTTTCACATCATCACATATAATTACACCTGAAAAACCAGTGACATCACTTCCTGAAACAGAAACAAGCGCCTGCACTGATTTGCTGAAAGTCTGCGGGACATTTTGTGTGTTTGACTCCAAGGAGACGTAACTGACGTCGATGGAGCAGCCGAGCAGCGAGCCTCTTTCTAGTGCTTTGCTGATGATGCGATGAAGATCTTTGGGTGCCTTCTTCAGCTCGTACATCTCTGACACGCCTCCCGTAAAGTCCTCGAAACCCTCAGTGGTGCTGCCGCCGGACAGCGCCTCGTATGACCCGTTCAGCCTGAGAAACAACAAGAGACACGTAGTAAACACAAAGTTCACCCGCAGATGCCGTGCTGGATCGCGTTGAAACCGGCGAGGCTGGAGATCGGCACCTGAAACCACAAACAAACACCTACAAACATGAACACCTGTTTGTAGGTGGGCGGGTCTTACTTGGCGTAGGCCTTCTCCAGCAGAGCGCTCCAGAACTCAGTGCCTTCAGCCGAGTGGACGAACAGCAGCTCGCCATCTTTGACTGGCAGCCGGTCGTCGATCACCACGTCCACCCACTGCCCAAACTGCCAGAACTGCAGAGCAAGAAGGAGAATCAGTCACCTGTGACAGGTGTGTCCTCATCCAGCATCAACCACCAGCCGCACTCAAACCATGTCCACAAAGCACGTTTTACAGGTGAATGAGCGTGGCCTCTGTGCAGAAAGTCTCACCTGGAAGTGGAAGATGCCGGCGTATTGGTGGCTGAAGCTCTGACCGTGAGGAACAACGCGATGCAGCAGCTGCTCGTTCAGCGTCAGCGAGCCAATCGCAGCCAGCAGCCAGCAGTCACCTGCAGGAGCACACACAGGTGAGACAGGTGCACACCTGAGCCTCTTTTACAAGTTACTTCAGCCTGAATGAAGTGAAGCTGCAGCCTCTGCTTATTCTTTTTAATCTGATCTGATTGGACAAACCTGAATGGAGAGGCAGCGCCCTCTGCAGGCGGTCTGTGGTTACATCACCTTTAATCAGGTAAAGAGCTGCTGGGAGCGCTGAGCTCACATGAGATCAGCATGACTCTGGACGATGATGATGATGATGATGAGTTTGGGAAGTGTTTGTCGACATTCTTCTGACGGTCTCTCGGGACTCTAATGCTAAGCTAAATCCTAACAGTACATTAAGCTGCTAATGGTTCCGGCTAATGGACAGGCGTCCAGTGTTCACAGATCAATACAGGTCAGAGTGCTGCTTTCAAGTACATCCCGTAACATCAAACTCTACTTCAGGAAATATGTTCATCACATTCTTCGTGTTCACCTGGTTTACACCTGGAAACAGGTGAAGCTTAGACAATATTTTAAGCTCTTAATTAAAAGGTTAAGGGTTAAACCAAATAAACAACCCCTTCACTCATCTTCTTTTTTCAAGGCTTGGATGGAGACTGGGCCTGAGCGAGTCCACAACGAGCGAGAGAAAGACACCTCAGAGCCGACCACAGGTGGCACACCTGCCTGTGTTTCAGGAAGGTCTGACTGGATGATCGACCCCGACCTCAGAGATCAGTAAGAGTGATTCTTAGCTTCAGTCCATTGAATCGGAATCATCGTTGACATTCACGTTATGTTTGAATGCGGCGTGTTTCAGGATGTTTGTCTGACTTAAATCAGAGCTTTTAGGTGTTCTGCTGGTGAACACGATCATAACAGAGAAGTGACACACACACACACACACACACACACACACACACACACACACACACACACACACACACACACACACACACACACACACAGTAGAGCAGAAACGGCCCTAACCAATCTGGCGCCCTAGGCAAGATTTTAGGTGGCGCCTCCCTACATCAGCAGTGTAGTGTAATGTTGTAACAAATAATATTTCTATTAAATAAGCTTTACTTTGCATTTTAATTAATGTGGGATTATTTTTTGTATTTAGAAATAATAGTACCAACTTTTTTTCTTTTTTTT